ACGCAGAGGGAGCCCCGTGGTAATTCTCGCCTGCACGAGGAGGGTGTTGGGTGATGAGGATGGAAAGCTCTCTGCATGCTCCCATTTGATGCTGTGTGTAGACAGGGGGATTTGCTGTTGCACGTTACCAGAGGGGCACGTCTGCACTTAGAATGCCGGATGCCGTTCTGCTAGCCACCCGGACTGTTCTGTCTCCCTCTACGCAGAGGGAGCCCCGTGGTAATTCTCGCCTGCACGAGGAGGGTGTTGGGTGATGAGGATGGAAAGCTCTCTGCATGCTCCCATTTGATGCTGTGTGTAGACAGGGGGATTTGCTGTTGCACGTTACCAGAGGGGCACGTCTGCACTTAGAATGCCGGATGCCGTTCTGCTAGCCACCCGGACTGTTCTGTCTCCCTCTGTAGCGGTTTGTGGAACCTGGTGCTCAGAAACATCTCCTATGGAGTGAGTGAAATGTACAGAGCCTGTTTCCTTAGTGCTCAGGTGAAGCAACTTCAAAAGTTCATCCCAGAAGTTACCATCAGCGATGTACTCAGGTAAAAACACCGGGTGGTATCCAGCTGTTTGTTAAATCTCATTGGACAGATTAATTCCTCTGATGTTAGTTCCTTCCCTTTCCGACTGAGATTTAACTTGGAAACTTGCTAATAGACCCTGGGGAGGGAGCAAATTAAAAATTGAGCCGGAATGAGGGGGAGAAATCAGGGTGGTAGTAAAGTTGGAAGAGAACTAGAGTTGACAGAGGCTAGAGACAAGTGTTTGCGATGCGATACAGAAGTGCAAAAGGCCAGCGTGGTTGGCCTGCATAGTATCATAGAATATTAGGACTGGAAGGGACCTCGCGAGGTCATCGAGTCCAGTCCCCTGTCCTCACGGCAGGACCAAATACCGTCTAGACCATCCCTGATAGACATTTATCTAACCTGCTCTTAAATATCTCCAGAGATGGGGATTCCACAACCTCCCTGGGCAATTTATTCCAGTGTTTGACCACCCTGACAGGCAGGAACTTTTTCCTAATGTCCAACCTAAACCTCCCTTGCTGCAGTTTAAGCCCCTTGCTTCTTGTTCTATCCCCAGAGGCCAAGATAAACAAGTTTTCTCCCTCCTCCTCATGACACCCTTGTAGATACCTGAAAATTGCTATCACGTCCATACTCAAGCTTTGTTTCACAGGAGGGGATAATAGTCATTCCGTGTGAGCACTTTGATCCTATCTACAAAATCCTGTTCAGTTCTTTGTTCTTCATTGTGAGAAAGATGGACAAGGTGGGAGGAGTCCAGAGAGGAGCAACAGAAACAGTTAGGAGGTGGCAGAGACTGGTTTGGGAGGAAAATTCAAGTAGCTAAATATGCCCAACTTGGCTGAAGGGGACATAAATGTCTCAATACTTGAAGGATGCAAACCTCAAGAAGGAAAGGAATCAAGTGCAGGTGGAATAGACAGCTGCCATTGCGCTCTGTCCAAAAGTTGTATGTGTGGCGGAGTTTTCCTTTTTTCCAGACCGTGTGTTGTCTTACAAGGAGGAAAACCAAACAAAACAGAAAATCCTCTGCCTGAGTTTTCACCCCCACCATGCCCTGCTGGCTGTGTGACTCGGCCTTCTGCCTAGCCAGTAGCTCCGACGTTTCCTGCTTTCCTTCGAGAACCTGGTTGAACCTGTCTTGTTTCCCCAGAGCACTTGCAGGGGGTGTGAACAGAGTGTGGTTGAAAAACTGGTAGGGTCTTTGCACTCTGTAAGGTCTGACCCAGGCCAATCAGAGGGGTCCAGGAGCCTGCACCTTAAGCTCAAAGGGGGCCTCAGATTTAGACACTTGTTAATTTGGGGGCATGTGAGAAGTTTTGCAGCTTGTTTTGATGCGTATCCCTATCGGGCCACAGTGTGACCTGCTCTCTCAGCTGAGAGCTGCAACGTGAGCAAAGAGGAGACGCCATTTTACTTCCTTTGTTTTTACAGGGGTCCAGCCGGAGTGAGAGCCCAGGCCTTGGACCGGGATGGCAATTTGGTAGATGACTTCGTCTTTGATGGAGGCACCGGTGACATTGGAAGCAGAGTTCTTCATGTCCGAAATGCCCCCTCTCCTGCAGCTACCTCCTCCCTCGCCATTGCAAAAATGGTCGCCGATGAAGTGGAGCGAAGATTTGGCTTGTGAAATACACCCGCCCCGCGCTCTCGGCGTCCGCTCTCGGCCAGCCGGCTGCCTGCACGGAATGAGTTCCGCCATGTGTCAGCGGGAGGGCAGAGAGGCCGTTGTCTGGTTCGCTAGAGGGACGCTGGCGGTTAGGCTGTAGAATACAAAACTGGCATTTGAGTTGTTTGCCTCCCTCAGCTTTTATCTCGCTGCTTCCTGGACGGAGGAGGTGTGAGCTCAGATAAGTCCTGGGGGACGGGAAGGCGTCCCCAAAATACTGTAGCTCTGTGGGGCACGGGAATCCGGGAGGGCCCAGCTGCAAGGGAGAAAAGGTTCTGCCATCCCTAGAGGCCTGGAGGAGGAACCGGAAGAGCCTTTGCCAAATGGGCTGCCCAGCCCGAGTTCCCATGTTCTCTGGCTTAACCAAGAGCTCCTAGCATCTCCCCTGCAGCGAGGGGGCCTCTTGAGGCTGGGACGGCCCCTCCCTCTTTCAAGAGACTGGAGAATTCGCCTCCCCCCTCAGAAAACCTGAAGGCTGAGCAGCCTTTCAGGCATGCAAATGGGAAGCAAAGAGCCCTTGGCCAAAGCATCAGTCGGGGAGTATTGACATTCAAAGCCTTCTCCACTAGCGCCGAGTACGGAGGAACGCCCAGCGATTTGGTTTTATATTTACTCTTGGGGTGTGTCTAGACTACATGCCTCCTTTGACGGAGGCATGTAGATTAGCCAGATCGAAAGAGGGAAATGAAGCCGCGATTAAAATAATCGCGGCTTCATTTAAATTTAAATGGCTGCCCCGATCTGCCGATCAGCTGTTTGTCGGCAGATCGGGGGAGTCTGGACGCGCCGCGTCGACAAAGAAGCCTTTCTTGATCAGCACAGGTATGCCTCGTGAAACCAG